ACTTATTTGCTTCCTCTTCAGCACTTAAAGCACCTCATGCATTTAATTCCTAAGTGGTTTGTGTGATGGAGCAGCTCTTTAACATATAGTTAAGTCTCCTGTCATGTAGGCTGACTATATGTTCTTACCTATAAAAGTGTAAACATGACATAGGGCGGATGCAAAGAATAGAGAGGAAGAGATATAAATACAATATGGAAACATTCTCATAGCAGATGGAATATGCTATGGAAGAAGTTGAGAAATTGGAAACATATTTAATTAAGTTAATCTCAGGCCTTTAACAATTTTCTCTTGATTGTTTGCAATTTACATGTTGTTTTGTTACTTGAAGCTTCCCATATGGATAATCCAGATAGTGAAATGGTGCTGTACCTAATGTTACGAGCTGTGGACAGATTCTTTAAACACAATGGTAGATACCCTGGTAAGGTTGTTTTCAATATATCATATGCTTTCTGAAGTAAAAATGAATACTTTCTGTAATACAGCCTTAATAGCACTCTGTTCAAATGTATAAATGTGTCACAGATTGAAGTTTTAATCTCATAAGTGGGTATATTTGATAATTCTAATGTACTTTAAAGGCTTAGTAAAAGATGCTTTTCTGCTTAGTATATTTTTCTATGAGATAAGAGTATTCTCTTCTCTAACAAAATTATGTTTCATTTATTATAGTTCTGTCTATAATAATCATATCTTTTTTTCAGGGGTTTATAACTATCAAGTGGAGGATGACATTGGAAAACTGAAATCTTGCCTTAATAGTTTTCTTCAGGAATATGGATTGCCTGTAACAGTCAAAGATGATTATGTCCATGAATTGTAAGTGTTAAATTGCAAATATACTTTCCAAGATCTTATTATTATGCATTATAATATGACTTTATTTTGTTTTGTAGTTGTCGATATGGAGCTGCTGAGCCACACACCACAGCAGCATTTCTAGGAGGTAAAAAGCTTTTTTTATGTGCCCATGGTGAACCACAAGCCAATTGACATGAAAAAGATTTAATATGTCTTACATTGATACTACTTTGTATTTGCATGTCCATTGTACTCATAATATCTTTGGGTTAATTAGAGGTAGTAACTATTCATTATACTGATATAATTCCCTTTGCTCTGATAAAAACGTCTCAGATTTAAAATTGTTTCCAAAGTTTATACATGTACAATAATACTAGTTTGTACTCTATAGTTGTTAGTATATTTTGATATATGTGCTGAGATATTAAACAAATAAACTCTAAACTGCAGCCAGTATTCTTTTGCAACAAATCTTAGATGCACGTAAAACTCCCCAGATTAAATTGCCCTATTTGAATTTTAATTGGGAGGATCAACTAAAATGAATTTGGAATCACAAACTGTTAATGAAAATAATGAAGATCCTACCATAATTTCTTAGGGAACAAAGTTGGTAATTGAATTTTCCTGTACCTATTACCCAACTTCTCTTGTTGATGATAGGTTATATAAGGGGTCTCAACTGACAAATGCAGATTATTGACAAGCTTCTGCCAGGAAAAACTTGAATGCCAGAGATTTAACATGGAAAAAGTGCAATTGGTCATTGAGCTGAGCCAATCACGAGAGTATTCATGCTTTATTTCTTAAAAATAAAGCTTTTTATATCCCATTGATGCAAGGTGGCATCTGATTAAAAAAAGTAGAGCTAGAAAATATGCATTTGGATTTGACTCAATTGGCTTCTGTTACATACTATTAATTTATCATTTCTTGGCTGTTTTACAGGAGCTGCTGCTCAGGAAGTTGTGAAAATTGTTACCAGGCAATTTGTAATATTTAATAACACCTACATTTACAATGGGATGTCTCAGACCTCAGCAACATTCAAACTATAAACCAACCCAACTGCATTGTTGGAATCTGTAACTGGTTTTGATTTGCATTCTGTTCTGTTAAAAGTAATGCTTAAAAGATTACTGTTCCTTCCTTTATATTATTTTTGTCTTTCTAAATTCTTTCAAATTGGAATAAAACACAAAAAACATTGGCTGGTTTACAGGACTCAGGAAAGTATTTTTAAACATTTATTTGTGCTTAATAAATAACTCTTTGAAGCAAATGTGCAGTGGTGTTAATGAGTAACATACAGATATACTACATGAAAATACTGGTTCACAAAAAGAAATGGGCATTCATTGAAAGCTACTGGCAAAGAAAAAGGCAGCAATTTTAAACTGATTTTTTTTGTTGTTGACACCAAGATCTTTTTGACGATGTTTTGGAGGTTTTCCCAATGCTTATGGCAGCTTTCGGAGATACTTGGCTGCAGTGGAATGGAGCTAGCAAAAATCACTGCTCAGTTTTTCCTCTACGATCAGCTGTGGTCTAAATTCTAGAACCCACTCACTATAATAGGCAGCGTTATTCTCAATATTATGAATGTGTCTTTAAACGATTAAGAAAATGTAAAACATTTTGGAAAAGAATTCATGATATTGTGATACAGTGTTCTGGTTTACATACAATAAACGTTTTTAATGGGCCGTGCAAGATTTATTTATATTTTGAGAAAAGCAAACCCTTTAAAAATGGCTGCTCTTGAAACAGAACATTTCAGTGCAAAATCATTGTTGATATCTACTCTGATTCTGTCACTAGAACAGTGTTTTGGCCCAAATGGAAATACTCAATTTGAGACTTGTGTATTTGTCTGAAGTGGTGTAGGGTTTCCTGCCTAGGCAGGGGGTTGGACTAGAAGACCTCCAAGGTCCCTTCCAACTCTGTTATTCTTTTCTATTCTGCATATGGACTTCACAAGATTTTTTTTCATCCAGTTAGTAGCTGCACACTAAGTTTCAAAATCAGGTAATCTACCTTGGAAAGGATGTTATAGGTCATTGGTAAAACAAAATTTGGTCCCAATTGTGGTCATGAGTTGAGGTTTACCAGAACAGGAGATAAAGTTGCAATGTCACTGCACTTAGATAACACATAATCAGAGTTGGAAGGGACCTTGTAGGTCATTCAGTCCAACCCACCGCCCAAGCGGGAGGCCCTACACCATTTCTGACAAATGGCAGTCCAATCTCTTCTTAAAATGTAGTGGGAACATCAGGGAGCCTATTTGTGTAGGAAAAGGACCTGCTATCATTGCTTTCCCTCCAGGAAAAAAAACTGCACAGGAAAAAAACTGCTGGGACTTGTAGTTCCAATTTACCTGGAGGGCACCTGGTAGGGTGGGCGGCTATTGAATGACATGGGCAGCTTGGTGGGAAACAAGAAAGAGATGGAAGTGTTCAGACTTGTAAAGGCCACATCAAGGTGGGTAAATGCTGGAAGGGCAGATTGATGGCCTGCAGATTTCCCATCATCCCAGGCCCTTTCAGCCAAGGCCAGAGGCAAATTCGAAAGCTTTATCATTTGCTTCCTGGTTTGACTTTCCTCTGAGTCAGCTGAGCAGTGGGGTGGGGGTGCTGAGCTAAGAATGCTGGGACTTGTAGTTCCAATTTACCTGGCGGGCACCTGGTGGGGTGGGCTGCTATTGAACGACATGAGCAGCTTGGCGGGAGAGGAGTTTTGTGCATGTGAGAGGCAGACACACATTTATTTTAAAGAGGTCTACAAAACACCCACTGTATTGAAGACCTGTGTAAAATAAGGCACTCTTAGGAAGAAACAAATTCTCCTTAGGGATGTCTTTGGGGGGGGGGGGGGGGGCTTGGATGCACTTATTTGTGATTGTTTCGGAAAAGCGCCCCGTTTTGCACAAGAGAAAGTCGGGCCTTCAATTCTAATTGCAGATGTTCTCTGAATTGATTCACTCTCATCCTGTTTCAACTGGGTGGCTTCGAACATATCTATATTGTCAACAGTGGACAAAGTGTATGGTTTTGACTTCAGATATCCATTTTATTCTTCAAGGAAGACGTTTTCGGTTAAAGAGGGCTGACAGGCCCCATTTGCTGGATTCGTATATCTCTTGATGTCCTAATATGTCTCCTTTATTGGAACGTAATTTGTTTATAATCCAGCCCAGGGGTGTCTGCAGGGTGTCAGCAAAAAAAGTCAAGATGGCGGCTACAATATTGCCCTTTGAAGTTTCACCTGTTTTTTATTATTATATATTATTATTATTACTATTATTATTATTGTTCTGCCATCTTGATTTTGTTGCCTTGAAATTCAAGCACCCTGAATGGCGTGGAGCTGAGGACCCATTCTCTGAATCTGAGAGACAAAATAGTGTTTTAATCTTTGCAAGGAGGCTTTTTTGCCTACCTGAAAATGCAAATCGCCCAGTAAATCAGGCAAAGTAAAAAACATTTATTAAGGAGGAGGGTCAAGTCTTTTTGTAGGGTACAGAAACAATTGATACATATATTTGGTATAGGCGTTACGTTAGAAAGCGAGCGCTGAAAGACATGAATTATATGTGAGAAATGATTAATAGAAAACATTGGTTCTAGGGAATATTCCAGAAGTGGAATATTTATGAATTAAGCTATAAAGTAAATTATTCCCTTTTCCATCAACATTTGCATCTTGCAAGTGTATTTCTGTTGTTTAATTGTTGAAAAGGCAAATTCTTGCATACCAAAAGAAATGGTCTTGAATACAAAGGGAAAAAATGCTTTTTTAAAATTAGAAGAGGCCTGGACTACCATGTTAAAAATGCTAATATTGCCTTTTTAAAATGCTAATAATGAAGCATAAAATTCCAAGTACAGTACCAGATCCACCTGTTTTTTATACCTCCATTTCAACATTTTGGAGTGCAGATGCCCCAGACCAAGCCTGGGTGTTTTGTAAAGCTACTCTTTACAAAACATAGACAAAGGGAAGTATTGGATATTTAATTTTGTATCCTATACTGAGTTGGGATAGAATGGATAAAAAAATGGTAAACTGAATAAATTTTATATACCTTTTTTCCTACTTTTTAATTTATAATGAAGAAATCACTTGTGTTTTATTTCTCTTCCACCTTCTTTATTGTAGATAAAAGCTGAGGAAAAAATAGAATCAAAATGGAAAATGGAAAAGATCAGAAAATCAATTGTGGTAAGATTGGTATAGACACAATATATTAAAGGATGATATTAAATCAGCTCTGTGTATTCACAACTATGGAAATAGTTCTTTTTCTGGTGTTTGTGAATGCTAACGCAAGTTCAAACTTCCACGTATAAAGACATGGATTAACAACATAAAGATAAAGACATGGATTAACAACAGCAATTCCCATTTATTACAAAAAATATTTCTACTTAGTCCACGCTAACTAGTAATTGTTTAGAATATTGTTGGCATTCTTAACATTGGTGCAATTGGCTGTTACAGATGGCAAGATTCTGCCATTGACAACTTTAAAAAAAGATTCTAAATATACTGAAATTATTGTTTTATCTTTTCAGATATGAAAACTGATCTAAATTTACTCCTTGAATGTCTTAAGTATCAAATGGACCATCCAGCTTCTCAAAAAGAAGCCTTGGTTACTATTTATTCGGTTTGTCAACAAAACGGTAAGCCATTGAGTTTTACAATTGTAGGTCTATTGTGTTTGTTTTGGCTCTTTGGGATTATTAGTATGGAAATAAATGTTCTTTTAAAACATCATCCATTATTCACTAGATCTGTTTTTGCTACAGTTGCTGCCTGTGAGTATTTTAGAGAAATAGGAGGTCTGATATTTGTATGGAATCTTGCAAAATCACAAGTGCACAGTTTGGTTCAAGAAGCTGCTTTATTTACAATAGGAGGTTTGGCTGAGAATAATGGTAAGACACAATTTCATTCTCATTTCATTATATCATTCTTTCATGTATTTACAGAATCCTTTGTTTTTATTGATCCATTTTTGAAGATCAGTACATTACATTGTACAATAACATGTGCATTTGAAAATATTTTACTTTTTATCTAAAATCTGATCACCTGAAAAATAATTTTATTAAGGAAATCTCTATATACCAGTAGCTCAGGTGGAGGGGCAGAAGATGGTGAGCCAGCTGTATTTTAAACATCACGAGATGTTGAAATGTCAGCTTTTGTTTTCTACAGAAGGAAAATTAAAGAACATAAATATTGAGTCAATGCTATGAAAATACTTCATTATTCTGGTTGATTTTATACCAATGCACCTTTAAACTCATAAGTGATTCTGCAAATATTAATAAAGAGATGCATAAATGAAATAAATACTTGGAGTCATGGTTGCTATGAAATTATTTCAATTCCCATCAAAATAAGCTCCCTAAATGTCATTGAAACACTCTTAGAATACAATCCTATTCTTATCTACTTAGAACTACTCTCAAGAGAGTGTGTATAATGTTTCAATCTGGGTATTATTTCTGTACTTGAATAATTTTATGAAATATAAATATTTAATGTTGAAATATTTTATGTTCCCAAAGCTACCATTATAATGTAGTTCTAGCCATATTTCTGAAGTTCCATTAGGTAGGTGAGAACAGTGGCTAGAGTTCCTATATTTGCTCAATTACAGCAATAATACTAGCACTTAGACTTATATACTGTACTTTACAGCACTCTCTAGGTGGTTTACAATACCATCATATTTGTCCTCAATAATCTGGGTTATTGAGGCCAATTAGCATAATTATCAGGAAATTCAATTGTATTTATCAATTAATGTGATACAATACTGTGTAGTCTTATTTACATTATATTTATTTTTTTAGTGTTCTGCCAACAGATGTTATGCACAGCTGAATTATTTAAGGATCTTCACACATTTTTAACTAATAAGGATTCAAGTATGAATTTGAAAAGAATGTCTGTATATGTCTTACTGGTGCTGGCTTCAAATAATAGTAAGATTTTTTTCTTCTCCATAAATAAAGAAATTACTCAAACACATATATACAGATAGTCCTTACTTAACAATATGAAGTCTACTAAAATTGGTTCCCATCTAATTGGGATGAATCAGAAATCCTAGTTTGTTTTAGGTAAAATGTTGAAAATTTGTAAATACTCACTAGATTTCATTATTAGTTGCTTAATACTTGTTCTATTTATTTTTTTTAAAAAAATGTTATTTAAAAATATAGACAGTGGACAAACACATGTGAGAGAATCTGGATGCCTCGATATTTTGCTACACTTATTCAGGTAAACTACCCTTTAAAAAATCAATAAAAAAGTAATTTTTATAGACCCAAATGACTTTTTTCATTTTATGTCATCTATTTTCTTGAACAGAGTAATTCCTTCAGAATCTCAAATTAACCTTTTCGATGGTAAAATTGATCAGTATCATCTGTGGTCCTCAGTTTGTAGTAATCTTTGTGTATGTGTCAACAATCCTCAGAATGGTAATTAGTTTGTTTATCAAGCTCTTCTTCTCCTCCTCCTTCTCCTTCACCTTCTCCTTCTTCTTCTTCTGTAAATAGGTGGGAGGGCATGACAAATGGCTGATGTTCAAAGCACATTTTGTTCCCCTCCAGAGGAAAATCAGAAAGCCTGCAGTTTGGTTTTTCCATATGCAAAATATTGGCTGCAAAGTAGTATGAAGGCTGAGATAATTCGCCCAATATGTTCATTCATTGGCCTGACTGTTGCAAATAATTGTAAGTATCTAATAGTACACACTGTATGAAAATGTTTGTGGAATAAAGTAACATTCCTAAGTGGAAAGAAAAGAGATAGAGTGTCCCGATGTGCGACAAAACTCAAATGTGATTTTGACAGGATGAAGTGATGATGTGAAGTAAGGGAGGTTGTGTATTCTATGTAGCAAGGCTGGCATATATTTTCCTTTCCTTTTTTTGTTTAATTGTGTGGTTTTTCTTTCTCTTATTAGGTTTGTTTTAAGTTAATGCTACAGTTTCCATTTCCTTTCTAAAAATAATGAAATCCAAAATTTGGCAATGCCATTGAAGGGATTAGGAATAGCAAAAAGGAGATTTAAAGGCTACAAAAGGCATGGTTTGATGCGTTGTGCAAGCCAAACATGAATTATTCAGGAGAAGGTTATTTAGAAATCTAAATTTTTAAGATTTATATGAGAACATTAATATTTCTTACAGTTTCTTGCTGTACTTATTTTATGAATCTTTTGTGGAATAAACTAGTTTTGTGTATATCAGTTACACATTTTGGGTTTGTTCACCTATCTCAGTTATAAATGCGGTTACAACTGAGTTTGAGATTCCTTTAGAGATTTTTTTATTTTGATTTAGGATTTTGTTTTATTTATCTGCTTTAACACAATTAAAGAGCTAATTAAACATTGCTCCCCTCTCCAAAGCTCTTTAACTTTATAATGTCTTTAACTTTAAAAACCTGTATCTTAAAGCAATCTGGTAATTGTTTATTCTTTGGATTATTTTTTTTCCAAGCAAGAACGCAGAATTTTTTTATTTCTATTGGGGGATTAGCTGTTTTGGACGAGCTTCTTCTCAAACTGATACACGGTTCATTGGGGAACAATACAAATATAAAACTTGCTGTAGTGGTGACAAAAACATTGGATGCCTGCATTGCTAATAACAGTAAGTAGTTTCTGTTCGTAAACTTACTGTGTGTTCTGGGTGTGGGTTTATACTCAATTCATTATCTTAATAGTAACAGATGATCTTATCTGTTGATCTTATTGCTAGGATCTCTGTTGCTTTCTGACTTTCTTTGAAACAATTGCAAATGTGGTTGAAATAATTTCAGTTACATTAGGAAAGTTGCCCAGATCGCCTTCAATGTACGGATAATCCTTAGACCATTCAGAGACATTTCACAGTTACAACAGTACTGAAAAAAGTGACAACAGGTCTTCGCACTTACGACCATGGCAGCATCCTCACGGTCACATGATCTAAATTCAGGCACTTGGCAACCAGCATGTATTTTTTACAGTTCTCAGGGTCATGTGATTGCCATTTATAACCTTCCAGCTGGCTTCTGACAAGCAATGGAAGTTGGGTTTGTTTAATGAACATGCATTCACTGAACAGCCACATTAAGCCATTCGCTTAATGACTATGGCAAAAAAAAATGTCATAACATCAGGCATAGTTCGCTTATTGATCACCTGACTTCACGATGGAAGTTTTTGGTTTCACTATGTGGTTGTAATTTGAGGACTACCTGTATTTTCACTTCTTATATGAGTCACGGTGGCACAGTGGTTAGAGTGCAGTACTGCAGGCTCCTTCTGCTGATTACCGGCTGTCTGCACTTTGGCAGTTCGATTCTCACCAGGCTCAAGGTTGACTCAGCCTTCCATCCTTCTGAGGTAGGTAAAATGAGGACCCAGATTGTTGGGGGCAATAGGCTGACTCCGTGAACTGCTTAGAGAGGGCTGTAAAAGCACTGTGAAGCTGTACATAAGTCTAGGTGTTATTGCTATTGCTATATCCTTGTGTTTATCATGGCTACTGTGCACAGATAGGAACATTTGATCTGGAGAGAAAGTTTGGAAAAAACTGGAAACAATGATACAGGTTCTCCTAAATGTACAATTTGGCATATGGTTTCTTGCATTCTATTGCATATCTAAAGAGGCATTTTAAAAAAAAACTCTTTTGTGTTTACAGCTGCAGTTGGTGTTCATTTACCAAAGTATAACATTGTGCCTAATCTACTGAAACTGCTTTCTTATAACATTTTGGACTCAGGAGAGCGATTCAGCATTATGCTTACTCTTGGACATTGTACAGAAGTCTGTGGTAAGATTCTTAATGATATATTGACTTTTTTATTTGAGGGTAGTGAATGCTGCATTAAGGTGCAGACTGCATTCAAATTTCAACTTGTAGTTTATAACAATAAACAAGAATGACCAACCTGATATTGATAGAATAACTTATGTCTGATTTTTGAAGTTGCATTTAGCTTTCATCTAAATGTAAAAATCAACCAAAATAAAATATTGGAAGTTCCTAGTGATGTGAGTCCAATAAAATATATGTATGAAGTAATTCCAACAATTTAATAGAACTTTGCACCCTAAATGGGGCAATTTGTAATTGTCTCTGCATTTATCTGAGGGAGAAGTTCTGAGCAAATACAAATAGGATTTGGCAATATCTAGGAATTGTGGTTTGTTAGCTTGACAAATTGTGGAATTGTAGGAATCATTCTCATGTTTGACCTCTGCCAAAATATTTACTGTATACTTTGAACTACTACTGATTGTGTTTACACATAATAGTATGCTACAGTTAGCTTAAAATGGCTTATCGAATAAACTAAAAATGGCTAGATTTGTGCAACTTAAGCCATAAACTGTAATTTACAAACTACAAGATGGTGATCCATAACACTTTAAATTATGCATTGGTTGATGTGTATCCTCTGTAACTATGTTTTAGGATAACTTTTGAATTAATTTTTTGTGGATAACTATTGTAGCTCTAAGCTAATATAAGTTCTTGAGTTTATGATATATCCTAACAATCAACTGCTGATGGTAAGTTGGCCATGATAGCCAGATGTGACTTTAAATTTTAGATCTTACTGGGAGTTTGAGGTTTGAAGTAAGTGAGGTCACATGTTTCTGATTAAGTAAAGTTGTGGTGAAAAACTCAGAATCAATTGCTTTTTCTTTGAAAGTTGTTTTCAGATAATTTTACAGTTTGAACAAATGTGTTTACTGAGGCTGATTTTTTTTAGAGGAAAATCAATATACTCTGATTAAGAACAATGGTCTTCCACTTATGATTCAAGCACTAACTGAAATGCAGGATGATGAACTAAATAAAGCTGCTACCTTTGTGTTGCAAAACTGCAAACAGATGAGTAAGATTATCATTATTTTGATTTCTGTATTTAAAATCACCTGGACAGGCATCTAAATACCATAGTCACTTGCATGTTTAAATTCAGAAGTAACAACTTTATCCAAGTTCTCAGTATTTGAAGCTGTTGCAAAAATCAGTTCTTTAGGTTGAAACCAATTGTATTTGTTAGACTGTCTTCCAATATATAAATTATAAAATTATTTTATAATAAGTTTAATATTGTGATTGAGAATGTGTTTTTGTGAAGCAATGCTATAAAATTAGCAAATCTTTCTAAAATTTTCCTAGTGGCATCTAATGCTGTGCCCTCAGTTGTTTTATCCTATGCTAAAACTCCATGATTGGAGAGGATGATTTCATCCAGAAATGCTTAGATCAAGAAACTGCTATTAAACAACCCATTTTGGTCATTTGGGTGGTTTCTTGTGTGAATAAAATATTTTATTTGATACAACTCAAACCTTAAATATGTTACACATGAGATGGTGATGGATGTAATTTATTAAGTCTTTAACACAAAATATACATCTTCATTTCTGTGAAACAATTGTTTCTATTCTTTTTCACTAGCTGAAAAATTGTCGGTGAAGATGAATCAGCATTCATTCCAAGAGGATGAAAGAAGAATATTGGAAGTGGATTGGCAGAACGAAGAGAGGATTCTTGAAGATTATTGGAACGAAGCAAAACAAATTTTATACAGAATCAAAGGGCTTGAAAATGAACAAGAGGTTTTTCTTTCTTTCTTTCTTTCTCTCTTAGTAGTTGAGGAAAACTGTCAACATCAGAAAGCCTCTCCAGACATTCTCAGCAGAATCTAATTGTATTGTTTTATTCTAGTCTTTCAATTAATGGAATTAATAACTTAATGAGCTATGCTCATTTGCATTTTAAAAATAAATGGAGTGAAATTCCACTCCCCTGTTAATCAATGCTTATGGCCTCTTCTAGGTATTTTGAGTATTCTTTTGCATATAGGTTTGATTTCTTGAAAGTAGTTATTGCTGAAATAAATATTCAATCATACTAAATTAATGGATTATAACCACATGATTGAGCTTTCTTCAAAGCAATTTTTAACTGGCTTCCTATTGTTTTTATAGTCAAACAGAAGGTATAATGTTTGCTTAGTTCTGTTTAACATCTACAGTCATGTTGGACCTGATCCTATCCTGCAACTTTGTTTTTTGTCTCTGTGCATTTGTTTCATTTCCCTACTGTTTTTAAACATAGGAAAACATCAGAAGAGAAATATTAATTGATGAAGATGCCCCTCAAGAAAAGTTTCTGCAGGCTATGACCCAACATCATCAAACAAATTCCAGCAAGCAGCCATCAGATAACAGCAAAATATATTTAGAAATGAAACATCCACTACAAAATACTATTTCTAAAGTGCAGACTACTTCTAAATTTGAAAAGAGTTCTTCCAGTAGAGAACAAGTGAAGTCTGCCATTTGGAATTCAACTGATGCTTCACTCGCCCCAAACGATCACAATAATCTTTATGCAACTGAAAAAATAACAACACCCAGCATAAATGAAGCTTACATTACAAATAAAAACAGTTTTTGTGACTTTAGGAAAGGCGATGTTCAAGCAAGGTACTGTACCTAGGATCTTCTGTCTAAAGCTGGCTTGCTAGTTTGATCTTAACAGTAAATCAGATTTTCAGGTAGAAATGTCATTTTGGGTTGCTTCCAGATTTAGTTATGCTTAAGATAGATCCAGTTATTTTAAGTTACAAAAGGCCTCTTATACTATCTAATTCCTTTTTAAGTTTTGTAATGAATTCTGAACAGGCTAGAATTTTATCCTGAATTGTATGGGAAGCTTTGTTATCTAAATGTTTCTCTCAAAGATAGAAATCAACTTGTATCTTTCATAATAATTGATGACTTCTAGATAATGCGATATGCAGGAACAATGTGTGTTATTCTGTGAATTTTTCCTCACATGTCAATAATAATGATAGGATGGGAGAATTTTCCAAATTTGAGTTTGAATGTGAAACATCAAATGGATCAGTGTGATAAAGCAATATTGTGTTGTCACAATGCAAGCCCTGCATTGTTACATGCATGTCATGGTATTATATATATGTGTTGAAATAAGATGGAATTTGTGGCACAGAAGTACAACATTAGTTTGATTATTTGACAGATTTGGCTGTGGATACCCATGAATGAACACTGTATGTTCCTCAGTTAGTGGTGCAATATGCAAGATTGAAGTACTTTTGAGGCATCTGTCAAATTTCCAAACTAAAATTCTCAATAATACTCTCTTAATCTTTTCAGTGAATTCATTTTTAAGAAACCAGATTTTGTAGTAAAAAGCCCAATGCAAAAGATTCAACATTCAGGTAAAATATCTAAATATTTTAATTTCAATTTGATTTTTAGAAATTATATATATTTTTGTATGGATGGCTGAAAGGTACACATCTACATTCTGTGATGTGCAACTCAAAACAGCTAAGTGCTAGCTTGTATAGAATAGTATTACATCAAAGTAAGTTTGCTTTATGATTCTAATTCTTTTTAACAATCTTTTGAAGGACTTGAATCAATATGTAAAATAAATATCAACAATGTAAGTCCCGTGTTACTGTATCATACAAAGGAAACTAGTATAACAGAGTTAGTGATTAAATTGATAAACCAAAAATTTAAACTGGAAATGTTAATTGGCAATTAGTTTTTATATATGTTGATGTGTATTACTGTATTTCAGTTTCTTTTTAAATATAGTGGTGATATATAAAAGTAAATACACCCATTGTTTAATGCATTTCACATTGGATATTTTATTTTTCAAAGAGCTACACTATCCAAGGAACCCAAGCAGAGGGTTGGGCCATATTCTGACTGTTCCCCCTAAAATAAGAGAACTCAGATGTTCAGGTAATTAAAAAAAAATTAAATATGCTCATAGATTTTTCTGTTCAAAAGAAAGTCTCACTGAATTAAACAGTAGTGACACCCCAAATACGATTTCAGCCAGCCAGCCAGCCTATCCAAAGTAACGAAAATTGTTGGGAGGGCTGTGCAACATGCCTAATATTAGCCATATCAATATGGGTATAACAAGATGGCATGGATAAGGAGTAAAATTTTCTGGGACTGCCCTCCCTGTGGCTACATACCAGTATTATACTTTCGTTTGGGGGTGGAGGGGGGTTGCTACTATATCACTTGGCTTCTTCCTTGCCTAGCTGAAAAGTCTTGTTTGGGCTTTTTTATGAGGATATAATTGACCTGTAGGGCAATATTTCTATAGATCTACCCTGTTTCTCCAACAATACGGCCTCGCCCAATAGGAAGTCCCAGCATGTTTTATAGGCATGAAATGAAATTAAGCCCCTCCTCCCAAATTAAGGCCTATATTAAAACATGCGAAATGGGGGGGAATGGTGGGTGGGCTTGCCATTAGGAAGTACTTTTGTTGCACACCTGGATATGGTGCTGCCTACGTTGACCCCGATACGAAGTGCCCCCACCAACGCCGAGGTCAACATCCAAGCTGTCGCCACCTGCCCACCCAAAGATGCAAGGGGGGGGGGGAATTGAGTCACCCCTGAAAAGACGGCCTAGCCATTTTTTCAGGGCTCAAAAAAAATAAAAATAAGACCCAGCCTTATTATATGAGAAACATGGTATTGATTTTCTTGATTTAGTGATACATTTATCACAATGTGGTTAAAGCAGAAAATAAATATTAAATAATTTAATGTCTTGCACCTGTAACATTTTATTTCTATAATATTACATTCTCAGGATGTAGAATAGGTAGACTTTCCTTAAACAGCCGGAACTTTAGCAAGACTCTGCAGTCTTGTCAATATCTGTGTGAACAACACAAAATTATTCTAGAATCTGAGATGGAATATAAAAGGAAGTTGAGAAGATCCATAATGGCTAACAAGAATATTTCTGCATATAATAATGGTAATCACAATGAATGGAGATTCAGCTGCAAGGGAAGCTCAACAACTGTGAAAGAGTTAGGTGTGTCAAAGAACCTTTATCCCTGGTAGTAATATCTAGTTTAGCTCAGTTCTATGGTAATTTTCAGAAAGTCTGAATAAGCAAATGATGTTTTGTTTCAAACAGCAAGTTTTCAGTGTGATGCACGTTCTAAGAACCAAACAATGAAACAGATTTACAGCCTTCAAGACCAGGATCTGAGTGAAAACCATCCATTTGAAGAGGAGGTATGGACAGCTAAATATCAACATTTTGTATATTAATACCTGGCTATAAATTCTAACACCAGGTAAGTGTTCTTTGTTGAAAGGGCTTATTCAAAACTCTTGGTGTGCTGTTTCAATTACTATTGCAGAATACTGAAACACTATCAAATAGCTCTACAACAACTTTAAAGAAAAGGAGAATCAGGAAAGATTTTACATCAGAAGAAATAAGTTATCTTTTGGAAGGTGTAAGGAAAATGGGGCATCATTGGAATTCAATTTTATGGGCCTACCCATTTCAGGAAGGACGGACAAATGTTGATCTTGCTAAGAAATACGGCAGGTTACAGGTATTTTTGTTTTGTTTTACAGCTGTTTTGTACATGGATTGAGAGTAGCAGAGACCTTAAAAGTCAATAGCTAGTTAGATAAATCAGCTTAGAAAGACTAAGAAATGTGATCTTAGATGGTGATGGAGGAACCAGTAATAAATGCTAGTTCTACCCCTTTCCTGATTACTTCAACTCTTCAGCCATATTAGAAGCAATGAGTAATTGATACAATAGGTTTAGCTTTGTGTCGGTTTTTCTCTTTTACAGAAGAATGGAAAGAGCAGAAATACCCAACCTCTGTGAAAATGGCCTGTAACAAAAGCTTGGATGTATGCAGGATACTTGCTTTGTAACTGGAGATTGTACAGTTAGATGCTCTTTCCACCAAGACTTCATTTTGAAGATCCGTTATTTGCCCAGTGCCTATATGTTGCCTATATTGTATACATTCAAAAGGATCACGCTGCCTTTTAAGCAAGTGTATAATAACATCTGTAAGAAATAAATTTGAAAAGAATGACTAAGAAGCCCATGAGTCTAACCGTTTATTAAATTGAATTATGCCTTCGCGCTCTGCTTTTGCGTTCCTTCTAGCCATTTGGCCTTTTCAAGCTCTCGGCAACGGAATCCGGTCTCGCAACTGATGCTGCTACAAAGCGGCGTGACTCCGTTTATGCCCTTTGCAAAGCTCCGCATCCCCTTAGTGTAGTAGTAAGTGAGAAAAGGGGGCGGGGTTAAACCGTGCTATTACCGTATTGTGCCTGTGTTGAAACCTTCGGGCGTAACCAAAGAGCCCGCTGTGCTCCTTGTCGCCACTAGGGGTCCCTATTTGGCGCAAACTGGGCGGCGGCCCCGAAAATCTTGAACTCATCGTCCAGCGGGCGGCGGTGGGGGGGGGGGGGGGAATCCGCTGCCGTTAGGTGTCCTCGAAACTGCCTGACCGAAATGGATGGCTCAGCCTTCCCTGGGGACCAAAGCTTCTCCCCCTTCAAAACTACGCCGCGTAGAGTGAAAGCCACGGATGAAGCCCCGAACGCATGTCCGGCGACGGGAAAGGCTTCTAAGAGGGTCCGAAAAAGAAAAAGAAAAAAGAACAGGCACCCGTCGGGGCAGGCGGGGTCCTTAGCCGAGAGTGTGGGAAAGCCGGGGGTCCTGTCGGCGGAGCCTGGGCGGATGAGGTCACTCTTTGTGGCGGCTGCCGTTGGCAAGATGGCGCCGGTGTTGGCCGAGAAGAAGCTGCTGGAGCCGGACGGGCCTTTGGCTGCAGACCTCCCCAGCGAGGAGGAGGAAGGCCAGAGCCTCTGGTGAGAAGCCGGGCCGGGCCTTCAGACGGCGAGGGGGCGGCTTTGGGCGGGGGGAGCGAGGACGGGACGCCATGGCATCCTTTTCCCCCTTAGCGGGGCGGGCGGCTCGGCTTTGCAAGGCCGGCTGCGGGGTGGGGGTGGGGGGCGCCGCCGAGCTGGGCTTCAGCCTAGGGAGCCCCGCGCGGCCTCTTGCCCCCCTCCCTGCAGCCCGTTTTTCCCGGCGAGATGGCTGAGCTCCGCCGCCCTTGGGAGGGGCGCCTCCTGCAGCTTGAGCTGCCCTGCCCGCCAAAGGGTGGAGGGGCTGCTCCCTCCCTGCAAAGGCGAAGGTGGGCGGGAGCCTTTCCCCGGCCTGGGGCTGCTGCTGCTGCTGCTAACTAGGGCCTGGGGACGACCACACCCATCTTCCGCTCCCGCCCTGGAGGTTGGGGCAAGTGGATGTCGCCTGGGGGGAGCCTCTGCCCGAAGAGGGGCTCCTGGCGCTGCATCTTCCCTTCCTCTCTCCCTTTGGGGGGTGCAAAATACTTTTTTTTTTCCAGCACCCCAAAGAGTTGCTGGAGGCTTGAAATGCCCTCGCAGCCTCTGTTTCGAGTCTCTTTTAAATAAAATGTCTCTAAAAATCTTATCCTAAATACCCCACAGTTTTTAATCCTATGCAAAGTAAGCCACCGACTCCTCCAGCTTTGACACGGCAGTTTTGCGTCTCACTATCGCTTTCCTTTTTTTTTTTTTTATCCCTTTCATTCAACATAAGCCGTGTTTTAGCCTTATATAGGATGCTTGGTTGGCCTTGCTTTCTGTACCTGTTTCAGTAAACCGGTTTATGGCGTTTTCTGATTTTATCTGTGGGCTGCTCTTGTTTTTCATTGATGTAATAGGGTTTCCTATTAAAAACCCCTTTGTAATAGGGTTTTCTTTGTAACGAATGCATGCTTAACGGTGGCTTAAAGAATGTGGGTATTCTGAACTCTTGAGTTGCCATGTATTTTATTTAGAAGGAGCAACCTCTTACCTCTGGCTTGTTTTACTACTACTTATTTTACTACTATAATCTGTTGTGAAAGGATGCTCTAAAATATGTCAGATGGGTGAGAATAAACCCTTTTGGCCTGTGTACTAGATTTAGAATATTTCCAAACAGTTAACAAATGTCCAGGAATGTTTTTGTTTATTAAGAGTCACAATCATTTCTCTGTAATTGAAACATTGCAGAGTCAAATTCTTTAACAAGAGAACAGGTGATTTTCTACAAAAGGTAGAGTTAGACCTTTGACTCCTGGTACCCAAGTCTTGTGGGGAGCAACTTTCCATAACATATGCAACACATAACCTTTAGTTCTTTATTATATCTGTACAGCTGTCCATCTCAGGTTGTGTCATATTTATAATGGTTGATCTCAGAAAACATAATACTGCACTGTTGGTTCATGCTCAAAATCCTAGTATTAGTTCATCCCTAATTCATAAAAGGTAGGCATTTAGGTATTCTAAAAGGTTTTATGTTTGTATTATAAGGCCTTATTGATATTATAAGGTCTTATTATGTCTGATATAAGGCCTAACATGCTGGAATATAAATGTAAAATATAAAAAATTCTTCCTGACCCAAGGGTTTAAATATTTATTTCCTGTATGGAAATGACATTTGGACATATGAAAACCTTAGAAAGCAAAAAAAAAAAAAAAGCGCTGATTCATTTTTTAAAGGATGGACCTTTACTTCTGGGGGGGGGGGGTTTGGTCATTCATCCTGTTTTTTTAATCTGTATTATCTTTCATCCTTGACTAAAAAGAATGTTACTTACTTATGCAGGTTATCAATATTGAGTGAAGTCTCCACCCGCTCCAGGTCTAAATTACCATCAGGCAAAAATATTCTTGTCTTTGGTGAGTATCAGTGAATAGCTATGGGAAGCTATTGGTTCTCCAGGAAGGTTAACTGATGGGGGGGAAAAGCCATTTAATTTGGACGAAAGCCTTTGTTGAGAGGTTGAATATACATTAGCCAGGCTTCACATGGTCTTGTGATATAAGGCCTCTAGTGCTTCTTACAGGCTTAATGGTCCCCTCCCCCCCATTTTTTCTTTTCTAAACATGTTTCCTTTTTGAAGGAGAAAATGAAAGGTAATTGATATTTAACAAGTTAGAAAGTGGAAGAAGCGTGCAGCAGACTGGCACCATAGAGAGGCCTTGCTTTGTTTTAGCTGTTCTGTAAAATGAAATGTTTCTTCAGCTGCTGTAAAGGTACGTACAACTTGTCAATTCAAAGGCATGATGTGTTCTTCAATTAAAGATTATCTTCCTGTATCTTCTCTTCCTTGCAAACATACTGGCAGGTGATGATGGCTCTGGTAAAACAACCCTGCTGACTAAAATCCAAGGAATAGAGCATGGCAAGAAAGGAAGAGGGCTGGAATACTTATATCTAAATGTCCATGATGAAGATAGAGATGGTAAAGTCCTTGTTTTACCTGTCTTTCTTTTGCCTAAAGTTCAAGGCCAGCTTACCTCAAATGTGTTATTGGTCTGTGGAATGTCAGAAGTTTAAGCGTCTTTATTCTTTTCACTTGCTTTATGTCTTGTTTGTTTTCTCTTTCCTTTGATGCCTACATTCAGGCAATTAGCAAGACATGCTATTCCCATCACAAAATATGGCCCTTAATTATTTGTTACCACATTTAGTACATTCTGCCTCATCATCTCTGTTAGCATTTGTTGTGTGTGGAACGTATGTATCCATTATTCATTTAAGTCTGGTTTCTGTCCATTTCTCCTGAATACATTTTTCAGAATCCTCCACAGGCATTCTCCTGACCCCCTTGTCGCTCCGTGTGTGCAACCTGAAAGCTTCCTTTTTGACATTCACTCATCCAGCTTCACTGCTTTCAGAATTACTTGATCCTTTTGTCCTTTCTGCCCGGTGCATTTAAAATTTGTTTGTCAAAATGCTTTAGCTGCCCTACTTTTCCTAAGCTTGTTCTCAGAACTCACCTTTGAAAAAAGCTGACTACTGCAGTATTTCCAAATCTGGTACACTCTGGATCATCATCCTTGTCTTTTGTGACCACAATAAAGACAAGCCGATCTAATTTAATTTCCCAAAATATTAAAGGGTAATTATGGATAAATAGTTCTGGTTTTGTGAATTTTGTGGTGCAGTTCTCTAGTCATACACTATGTAAAAACATACACGAGGAGATGTCTGCCTCTAAATACAGATGCTATTCAAGTAAAAGGCACAACATTTAAGAAACACTTCTTGCAGAAGTCATGAATCAGGAAAAACGCAGGCACTGACAAAACGCTGATGGAACTTCTGAACATTAGTGTAGAACTGAGCATGTATACAAAGTGATGCAAATAGTAGCAATAAACTAAGAAAGATGAAGCAACTGAGACCATCAGATTTATCCATTTATCCAGATTTATCCTTGCCAATTTAGAAAGACCATCCCTAGTATTTTTAGATAAGAATGTCTGAAATTGCTGCACATTCTCATACTTACTCGGCTTCTCTCCTTTTTCTCTTCCTCTCTCATGCTGAATTTTTGTTTGTAGTCTCCCTTGCAGCAAAGTTGTGCTATATTTAGTGCTGGCTTTAAACGTCAGTGCCAACTATGTTAATGGATGTTATATCTTTTAATGTGAGAAGAATTTCCTACTTAAAAGGAATTGTTTCCTTTGCAGATCAGACCCGCTGTAATGTTTGGATTCTCGATGGCGATTTGTATCACAAAGGTCTCTTGAAGTTTGCCGTGACAGCAGAATCGTTGCAGGAGACTCTCGTAATCTTTGTGGCAGATATGTCTAGGCCATGGACTATTCTGGAATCTTTACAAAAATGGGCAAGTGTCTTGCGGGAACATATTGATAAACTGAAAATCCCCCCGGAAGAAATGAGAAACATGGAGCAACAATGTAAGTTACATGAGGCTGACATTTCTTTAATGTCTGTGCTCTTTACTTAGAAGAATGCCCGTAACTATATTGAGTCAGGCCAAAAGTCCATTAACTAAGCACTATCTACCTTACTGGTCTGCCTGCAGTTTGTGTTTGAGTCTCTTTGTTTTAAACAGCATTGCTAATTATGTGGATTTGTATTTGTTCATCTGATGAAGAATTGGTCATCTGGAAAAGTAGGCTTGTAAATAAATAATACTCCTGTTCCTTTTACAATACAAATTAAATGTCAAATAAATGTTGGGCTGATATAGGTAGGGTAGCTTGCATGAGTAACATTGCAGAGGTTTGGATTTGTTCTAAGCAGGATTGTGTCTCAAGAGTTCTATGGCTTGTAAGAAAAAACAATATATGGATATGGCAATAGCACTTAGACTTATATATCACTTCATAGTGCTTTACTGCTCCTCTCTTTACAGAGTCAGCATACTGCCCCCAACTATCTTGGCCCCCATTTTACTGACCATGGAAGGCTGCCTTGAGTCAGTAAGGATCCAACTCCTAGCAGTCAGCTGAATTAGCCTGCAATACTGCATTTTAACCACCATGCCACCAAGGCTCCTAAGATCTAAATACCTTAAGCTAGAGCAGGTTTTCAAGTTGCTACTTCCCCTTTAAGAAATGTTTGAGGGGGAAAAGTTATCACCGAGGCTGCTTCCCAAATCTGCTTTTGTTGAGATTGAAGAGAAATTGTTTTCCCCAGTTGTGACAGAGGGAAGTCATACAAAGCTGATGGCAAGACTTCATGCATTTACCCTGATTTTCCAGGAAATCATCTTCCGCCATCGATAGTCAAGTGTGATTTGATGTTTGCCTAATAATAAATTTAGACCTCATTTTCCCTTCCCTGTTTTGCATCGCTGGGCTTCTTGCTTTAATTTGTGCAAAATCTGCTTCTGCAGACATTGATTTCAGTTCCAGTATGGATTCTTGGCAGCTCTTGTGCAAAGCCCAATTAAAGTATTTTCAGATTGCTGTGTCGTTGTATAGATAATCCTCAACTTACGGATAACAATTGAGGATCCAAATTTTTGTTGCTAAATGAAACACTTGTTTAAGTGAGTTTTGCCTCATTTTACGACTTTTTCTTGCCATAAACGTTAAGGGAATCTTTGCAGTTGTTAAGCTAGTAACATGATTGCTAAATAAACCTGGCTTCCCTATTGTCTTTGCTTGTCAGTCATGGCAATTGAACTTTTTTTTTTCTTGGATAAGCAACGAAACGTTTCAAAGAAAAGAAAAGGCAAGTTGGCATGACTCAACTTTTCAGACTATTCTACCTGCATGATTGAGTATCTTCATTGACAAGCAGAGACAATGGAAAAGCTTGTAATATGATTGCAAATCTCAGTCACATGGTGTCTTGCTTATCAACCATGTCTTTTAGTAACAGTAGTGGGTCCCAATTGTGGTCAGTTAGTGAAGACTATCCTACAATTTATACAGAATGAATTGATTGTTAAAGTGCACTGTAACTGTAAAGTGCACTTGTGTAACTGTAAATAAACCAATCACTTGATTGGTTTATTTACAGGTGTTTTTTTTTTAAATTGTTGAATTTTAACACAAGAATACACTGAGTTTCAATTTACTGATTGATATATTTTCTAAATTGTGTTTCTGAGAATTATTTCAAAAGCATAGATGAATTTTCAGTCCTCAAAGCTCTCTTCTTACAATGTGCATTGGATGGTGCTTGCACTGAACTTCAGAGGCTGCAGTGGTGAAAATCTTGTGCATGGCATTGACTTGGTAGAAAGCCATTGTCCAGAATCAAATAGCATTTTCAAATAACCAGTTTGTTTCTTTATGACACACATGTATGCAGTGTAGTGATGATCATAACGGTTGATTTATTAAAAATAGCAACGGGCTTATGGAATTTGTGGAGGTCCATGGGGGGTGGGGAATTCAGTCAAGAGAATCATTTAAAAACATTTTTTTAAAAAAATACCAACTCTTGTTAGAATAACAACGTGAGTGTGTCATCATTTCTATTCCAAACATTTGGGCACCGTCATCTTTTTCAAGAAGTATATTCTGGCAAGCACCTTCCACTACTTGACACAAACACCTCTGGCCTCAATGTGACACTGAGCTCATATTATGCTGGTGGTGGGGAAAAAATCCTTAAGGTTTCCAAAGCTGCATCATGTGAGTTCATCAAACCCATAAATAATTTCAAACACAGTAGGTAAAAGAATCCCTTTCTTCTTCCAAGAAGTATGTGTTGTGGATTGATTGTATCATTCCACATTTATACGCACCTAAATGAAGACGTCTGTTACAGCAGAAAAAGCCTGCTTTGGAATTTTTCAAAACGCACAAATCATTTCTGTGTATTCCCTGGATGTAGTTAGTAATGATTGTTATGTATCTGTGCCTGAAGTGAAAGTTTCCAAAGCTATTGAAAAAGGCAACAAGATGAACGGTACTGTGGCTCTTTTCCTCCCTAGAAGGCAGGAGTTGTTACCTTAGTTAAGGAAGCATCACATAAAACAGCTGGGGCAAAACTTGGCATAAATGGAAGCTGCTCAGAGTTTGTATGCAGGTGACATATAAAGTTAATAAATCAATGCGGTTGTGTACAGATGCCTCTTTTTAAAATATCAGCCCCTTCAATGTTTAGCAGTTTAGAGATGAAGCATTTGGAATGCTGCAGATGACTTTCCTGGCTCTTGGTAAAGCAAAATTTGACTTGGCCCCAACTTAAAACTCCGTACAATTGGATTTCAGTGACTTAAAATGCTTCATTTGTGCTGTTGGATTTAATAATAAAATTGCACTCACATTTGATGATGTTCCCACTATTTGGGGCATTTTTTCTTCTAAGGCAAGATAATCTTACGTTTTATCATGTAGAACAGGGGTGTCAAACTCGAGTTTATTGAAGGCTTGTTTCATTGAAGTTCATTGAGTTCATTGAAGGTTTGTTCAGGTTGAGTTTGACCTTGGGAGGGCGGGGTGTGTGTGTGGCCAGTTTGACGTCACTCACGTCAGGGGCACCTGTGATGTCCTGAGTGCCAGCGAAAACGGGTTCCCGAGCTCGTGTTTTGGCCGTGATGGCCTCCTACAACCCAACTCCATTTTCACTGGCAAAAGCACGGCGGGTCAGTCCCCAGCTGTTTCTAGAGTGGCCCCACGGGCCAGATCTAAGTACCCCATGGGCCAGATCAGGCCCCCGGGCCTTGAGTTTAACACCCCTGTTGTAGAAGGTCTCATTAAATAGAAAGGATGGCATTTTTTGGAAGGGTATTGTCCACCAACCTTGAAAATATCTGCAGCCATTGGGCTATTAAGTGTAAAAGCTAGGACTACAGTTTCTAAAAGCCTTATTAAAAGCCTTATTTTCTGCACTTCGGGTCTTTTGAATTTTTAATGTGTAAAATTCTTGTAGGGCTTCCTCTTCCAGAAACCTGGCACAGATACAGCTTTTTCCCACCCCCTTTAGCTGTCTAGTAGTTTATTGAAAAAGCCATTAAATAACGAAGACTTAACGTTTCAGAATGAGCCACCCAAATCCATTTTTGAAAAACGTTTTTATTTTGAAGAAAACCTCTTTTTACATTGTGAAGGGTTCTTGGAGATCCGGAACACGAAGTGGGATAACTGGTAAATACATTAAAAGTATTCTGAGGGGGAAAAAATGATGTTTTTATTTTATTATTTTTTACAAGCAGGTGCTTTGTCCTAATTTTCTGTTTAATTTCAAATACCTGTGTTTTTTTTTTATAAAGAACATTTGAAACGGTAGCTATAGCTTTTAATATAACAGACATTTTTTAAAAAAGTATATGTTTTATTGTAGTTGTGAAGATTTTTCAAGAATATGTAGAACCGGAAGGAGGTTATCAGGGATCCCCACAAAGAAGAGGTCCATCAGGCCAAGATGAAGAGAATATTGCTCTACCTCTCGGAGAGAATGTGCTGACTCACAATCTTGGGATCCCTGTGGTGGTAGTTTGCACAAAGGTAAGCTTGAAATCCCAGTCATTACCAAAAACACCCATTGATAGAATGGAATTGAATCTTGTTACTTCAAAGAATGAAATCTAGCTTGCAGGGAAGATGGTTTTATCCCTTCCTTCCTTCCTTCCTTCCTTCCTTCCTTCCTTCCTTCCTTCCTTCCTTCCTTCCTTCCTTCCTTCCTTCCTTCCTTCCTTCCTTCCTTCCTTCCTTCCTTCCTTCCTTCCTTCCTTCCTTCCTTCCTCTTCTCTCATATTTCCTTCCTTCCTCTCTCCCTCCCTCCCTTGCTCTTCTCTCATATTTCCTTCCTCCCTCCCTCCCTTCCTTCCTCTTCTCTCATATTTCCTTCCTTCCTCCCTCCCTCCTTCCTTCCCTTGCTCTTCTCTCATATTTCCTTCCTTCCTTTCTTCCTTCCTTCCTTCCTTCCTTCCTTCCTTCCTTCCTTCCTTCCTTCCTTCCTTCCTTCCTGTTTTTTTAACATTAGCATTGGTAATGATACCTTGAACACTTTTGCATATTCTTTTTGATTTCAATAACTCTCAAACTTCCCATTCTCTACAATCCAGGAAGAACATTGAGTTCCGCCTGTTTCCTTTTTTTTCAGGCTTCCCTTTTGTACATGCTAATTTTAGACTATTCTGCCAAATATTCAAAATCACAGGAGATCTCTGTTGTAAATTTACACGCCATGCAGCTGAAGTGTGATTAAATAGCAATCCGTCTAAGAAGTTGCATGCTTTTGAATCGAATAAAGCTGCCATGGATGCAATGTTTTCAAACAGAAAAATATTGGAGAATGTTATTGTGTGTTTTTATTTGTGTGCATTGCCCTGAATCGTATGTTGATTGGGTAGCTATGTGAATGGACTAAATGAATAAATATAATCGAAACTTTCCCCTTAATAGCTTCAGAGTTTGCTCTAAATATTCATTTACACAAAAATCATTTTATTGCGTGGCAGACTTCCAGAACTCTTGTGATTCCTTTGATTTTTTCCCCCCCAGTGTGACGCAATGAGTGTGTTAGAAAAAGAGCACGACTACAGGGAAGAACACTTTGATTTCATTCAGTCGCACATTCGTAGGTTCTGCTTGCAGTGTATCCTTTTTTTTTTAAGATGAAGTGGTGTTTTAAAGCAGTTCTTTATAAACTGAAACAATGTTTAATGTGAATCCAGTTCTGTTCTTTGTTTTGTTTCCACTATTGAAAAATGGTCACATCGATGTTTCGTTTGCCTTTCTTCCATTTCATGAGCACACCTTCAAATTTAAAACCACAAAGGCCAGCTATCAGGGTTCCAACTCCAAAGCACTCAAAACTCTGAGGCCCTGGAATTTTCTCAAAGAATATATTTATTTGGGATGTCATATTGGCACAGCTGGTGAAAACCTGACTCTGAAGGGCCCAGGGTTTCCCCCACCCAAATCAAAGTCCAGAGTCCCTGTCCTCCAGGTCATATGTCCATCACATGGTCCAATCAGGTCGTAGTCCCAACTCTGGCTGGCTTTGGTCCACGCCCTTCCAACACCTGGTAGAGCATCCTTGACTCCCACAAGAATGTTATTTTGGCTACGCATCTTCCAGCTATCTCTACTTCCCCTTTACGTTCCCACAGCTCTAACTGGCCTCTCTGTGGCAGCCCTGAAGATGTCCCCCAAATGGCTTCAGGGCTGACACCAGCATCTTCCATTTTCTTGGTTATGGTGAGAGGTTTTATATTTCCAGTAATGGCTGGTAAAAGCACACAAATTTTAGACGTTTTCTATCTAGCAGTGAACAGTGCAATCCCATGAATGTTGACTCTGAGAGAAATCTTGCTGTTTTCCTGGATCCTGCCTACCAGATCAGCCTGCTACTTACTATCTGCTCTTAAGTAGTCACATTTATAGGATTAGGCTGCAAGTACAATTAGTTAATTGGTGAATTATGTTTAAATTAATACATTAGTTTTGCTAGGGAACAATGTGGCTCCTTTAGGAATGGTTGTATTTCTTTAAACTGCTTTAGCCTTAGTGTAATATTTTTTTTTTGAGTTTGAAAACTTTTAACATGTTCATTTCTGTATTGTACTACTTTCCTTTCTTTGGGCTTAAAATTAAAAGGTTGGGCTGTTTCAAATCATTAACATTTGGGCCCATTACATCAATACCCAGTAAATAAACATATGGTATATGGTGGTAAAGTGTTAAGACAGGTGACCAATGCTTAGCTGTTCTGCTACTCTCATAGGGCTGCTCTGGGGAAAAGAGGAGAAAGCAGCAACATATTGTCTTGAATTTCTGAGATAAAGGCGCAGGATGTAAAATTAGCAACTAAATTTTTCATTTAGAAACAGACACTTATTTTTTAGAGACTTAAAGGTATACATTTAGCACTTGACATTCACTACTCTGCTTGGAATTTTCCTTAAATGAAATGAATAGATGGAGCGGCCTTGATCTATACATCCGTTAAGGAGGAGAAGAACCTTGAATTGTTATATAAGTACATTGTACATAAAAAATACGGCTTTCACTTTGCAAACCCTGCCTTAGTGGTAGAAAAGGACGCAGTTTTTATGTAAGTTACAGGGCAAGAGGCTTCTTTAAGTGAAACACAACATTTTTCTGGCTTGGTGGTGCAGGGGAGAAAAACCTAACTAAAAGATGCAAATATCTGTCCTCTCTAATAGAAATCCATCTTGAGTAATATTCTCTGGAATTCATCCTATAGTAATCCTATAATAATTTGAAGAGCATCAGTTTGGGAAAGATATGTAGTTTTCATGCTCTGTGTAGACTTAAGTAACTTCTTGGGATTAATCTTTTCTGGTTAGCATTTCGTCTTCATGACTTTGGCTTTTTTTGAGAAATGTACTTAGTCTCTGAATGCTCTTTTCTTGCTACATTCCAGAATTTCTTTTGAAAATCCTGTTGCATTTCAAAGGAGGGTAGTGCGACACCCTGTCCCCCAATAATGGCAATAAGCACTGAAATTAGATTCATCCATTTTAATCCTAAAATAAAACGTAGTTCCCAAAACCTGTGAATGAAATTATTACACATGTGTAATAATTTCATCTACTGCAGCCTTCCTCCTCCTCCTCCCCCCTGCCCATCAAATAAATTGCCTGCCTCAATTTAACAAGTGTCTCTTTTCAAGGGGAATAAGAGGCAAGCAAACCAGGCCTTTATGTCCAAAACACATTTCTGGAGAAAAGATGTGCTTGCATGAATGGTAATTCTTTCTCTAGACCGGCTGGCTGGGACAATGAAAAGAAAATTGCAATCCTGCATGAGAATTTCACAACAGTGAAACCAGAAGATGCATACGAAGACTTCATCGTAAAGCCACCCGTAAGAAAGGTACAGCTGCTTTGAACTCTGCTCTGTTATCCTTGGTGTGAAGCCACTTGCTGCTCATTAACACTAAAGTTCATATTTTAAATTATGGTAAACTTGTTTGGCACCAGTAATTCGGAGTATTGAATCTGCTAACTATTCACTCATGAAATACTTTGAGAAGTGCTTCTTGGGACTCCGTTGACTAACAAAGAGCACTTATAAAAAACAGAATGCTACTTTTCACCCCAGGCAAGGAATTGTAGTTTGGTATGGAAAAGACCAGAATAAAATGGCTCAGATCCAACTAACCATGAGTGGAAGAGTGTTCTGAGACATAGAAGAGTTCTGAGGAGGTCTTTGATGTATGTCTCCCCTGCCTCAGGCACATAATTTTGCAGGAGAAATCCAGGAGACATTTCCTTCTAACTTGCCTAAGTTTATCAGCCTGGCAGCCATCTTTGTAGCCCATCAGCATCTAACATATGCAGGCTGTGGCTGCTTCTGCCTATACAGCCTAAAAATGCATATCGAGAAGTGGGAGTTAGTCCCTACAGTTCCTACTCTGGAAGCTGATCACTCCTCAGCTGTATCTGAGACAGTCATTCTCTGTGCAGTAAGAGAAGTCATTGGCTTCTTTTGTATATGGAGAAAAGGGGCTTTCCCAGAACGGCGCAGCGTGCCACCCCTTGCACAGAAAATGAGGGGGTGTCATTTGCAAGGGGTTGTCCTTGCAATGTCCACAGGCCATTTCCAGGCCTTCTTAATCTGTGTTGATCTCAGGCCACCGTGTCTGTTCAGCAGGACTTCTCCTAACTGTAAGACACCATGGTAAGGAAGTGGAAAGGAAGGTGCTACCATAGCCAGACACGGAGCCAGGGTGGCGCAGTGGTTAGAGTGCAGTCCTGCAAGCTACTTCTGCTGACTGCCAGCTGCCTGCAATTTGGCAGTTCGAATCTCACCAGGCTCAAGGTTGACTCAGCCTTCCATCCTTCCGAGGTGGTTAAAATGAGGACTCAGGTTGTTGGGGGTAATATACTGACTCTAAACCACTTAGAGAGGGCTGAAAAGCACTGTGAAGCGGTAGATAAGTCTTAAGTGCGATTGCTATTTGCACATGGCTCCCCTCTGTCTGCAGTTTCCACATATTCCAGGTTGGGGGGGGGTGTCTAAATTTGTACGCGTGGGAAGAACACCCTTGTGTATTGTTTCTTGTGTGTGTGTTTTTCTAAGATCACATGCGCACTTCTTGCATTTATTACACCAGATGTCAAGGTGTATAATAACCCCTCTGCCCCACCCTCCAATGGAGATAATTTCAGATAACCGAACATCTGTTTGTGAGAAAACCTTTTTTTTTTTTCCTTTTTATTTCCCTTGTCAGTTAGTTCACGATAAAGAGTTTGCGGCAGAAGATGAGCAGGTCTTTCTGATGAAGCAGCAGGTAAATGAAAAAGAGCACTTTTTTTCTGTTTTTGCGTATCTTTGGTGCTTAGGATATTTTAAAGCAGATCTTATGCATCATGAGGCTTTGGGTCTCAATACAGCCCCCTAATTCTCCCCGCCCCCCTGCTCCCTTTTTGTAGCCTTTGCGTCCCTTTTTGATCACAGTTGCAGAAAACCATCTTCATGGTTTGCTGGCAGGTAAAGCTCAAAACATTTAAACCTACACCTAAAAACAACCTCCTTTCTCAAATTAGAAGAACATCATCTCGGTCTTCTCCACATAGCATTGACTACTTAGCATTATTATCTTACCACTACAGGCCTGAATCCTCCTCTTTTTCCTGTGATAGTAAGTCCTAACAATGAATCCCCATTAAGCAGAATCCTTGCCAGAAGGACCAGGGTGTAAAGCTCCAAGGGAGAAAAATAGTTCCCAGAACTTATACGCAGAGCCAAAGCATAGCTTTCTCTTGTTTTGCATGGTGACTCTCTCTCAAAACAATTCTTGGGATTGTAGTTCTCTGATGCAGTGAAAGAGATCACTGTGTCTGGTCACATGGGGCTTCTCTAGTTCGTGGATGAGCTGTTTCCTTAGGGTAGTTTCGAATTTTAATTTAGAAATATATTTTTTTTCATTTGAAACTTTTTTTTTTCATTTGAAACTAGTGACTCCGGTTCACTTTTATCAGATAGCATAGGCGCACATTATGCAGTCACCCTGATGTTGCTAAATACATCTATCACTTTCCTTCACTGTTGACTATGCTAGATGGATTTGTGTTCACAGACATCTGGAGCACTGTACATTGTGCCTCCATGAGTGAGTGAGTGAATTTGTATCCTGCCTTTTGTTATTTTTATAAATAACTCAAGGCAGCCAACATATCAAAAACTTCTTCCGCAGCCCAACTCACTCTTGTAAAACTAGAACTAGCCCAGTCTCCTGGGGGTTGGTCCCAAGTCATACAGCCAGCTTTTATTCCTAAGGCGGGACTAGAACTCACGAGTTTCCTGTTTTCTAGCATGATGCCTTGAGCACTAGGTTGAGTTACAGCCACGTCACCTCTCCTCTTTTAACAACATAAAATCTCAGCAGGAAAAAGGCTTTTCTAAAATATAACGGTGTATTGTGGTTGGTGCTTTGGATAATCCGTTGACAGTACTGTGACTTTTCTTTTCAGTCATACCTTGCCAAGCAGCCGGCAACCCCTACCAGAGCTTCTGTAAGTATACATAGTTGAAATTGGTTCCATTCCTTCCATAAGGCAGTATAATCAGATAAAAGAGAAGAACGTTAAGAGTAATCCACCACTCAACGTCTTGGGAATGTGAAATGGTTTGGCAAATGATTGCACTGCACCAAATGCCATTTGTATTTTATTAGTGACTTCAGTTCGTTGTCGTGCACAGCTTTCAAAATCATAACTGGGGAAGGTATTTTTTTTAAAAAAATATGACATCAGTAAATTACATCCTGTTGCTTTTTATTATTGTCCAGGAATCTCCTGCTCGTGGTCCTTCCGGCTCACCCCGACCGCAAGGCAGGACAGGCCCTGCCACCGTTCCCAGCGCCTCCCCAATAGCGTCCGTCAAGAAGCCAGATCCGGCTATTAAAAGTACGCTGTTCACCTTAACCTGTTTGCTGCTTTGTTTTGAACTTTGCCTGGGTGCAGCATTTTATGGCCTGTTGGTTCAAAGGCTATAGGGATATTTGGAAAGGTTTTTGTGTGTGTGTGTGTGTGTGAACTGCTACATTGATCATTAGCATAATGAAAGTTGCCATTGGGGGGAAAAAGTTGAATCTCTTTAAATGTAATTTTTTTAAAATCTTTTTCAATTATAGCATTAAAAAAAGAAATCCCCAAGTCTCACCCACCTGCTTTAATCCTTCATTGGATATGGGATGTAATAATTAGAGGTGTATCTTCCTAATAAATCCACACCCAAGCAAGAAGATAAAAACGTTTTAGAAAAGCTAAGGTGTTTTTGGAACAATAGTGGATCTACAGCTAGAAAAGGCAGCAGACCCTTTGTCCCCCTCGAGTATCTAAGCTTACGTTACTCAAATATAGATATAGTTAACTACTGAAGCTATAATAAAGTAGTATGTTTTGATGGATATTATAGTTTTATCTGAAAGCCGATGTACTCTAGTGGTCAAAGTGCTGGACTAGAGGTTAAAGGCACAGAGGCCATCTGGGCGATCTTGGACCAGTTATGCCCTCCTTAGCCCCAATCAGCATTCGTCCTTGTGACAATGAGCCCCTTGTTGCATCATGCCCCGATGGCTTTTCTGCAAGAAGTCACCCTCATGCAAAAAGAAAAGGACCTTGCAACGAAATGGGGAAAAGGGGCAACAAGAAGATCATTGTCTGTTGAACACACACACATACATACACACACACACACACACACACACACACACGCACACACTTTTGCAGGATCCAATCTGGGTCTGTCACCAGGACCAGAGGTTTTAGTCTTCCAAGCTTTTTTGACTTGAGCTGGAGCCCACCCTCAGGGAACTTCTCTCTAGCAGAATGTAACATTCTGGTCCAGGTGACCGTCCCAGATTGGGTCCTGCTGTAACAGTATTCTGGGACACGTCTATTTGCCTTCACACAACATTTTTCCATATAATAAACTTTGTCATCAGAAAGATGCCAGCATCACGGGTTTTCTTCTTTTATTTCTCAGCTTCTCTTTTGAAAGTCCATTTCTTTAAGGGTCGGTATGCCACCTTTGCCCATTTTCAGTGTGCATGTGTCATGCCCCTGTCGGAATCTGATTTGGAGGGGGAGGCCGAGCAGCTGACAGGGAGTGGGAGTGTGGCTCCATTGGCTGTGGAAGACACTGGGGAAGGGCAGGAAGTCCAGCTGAGCAGAGCAGGGGAGAGGTAGAGCAAGGCAGAGGGAATTCAAAGGAAGACCCAGGCCCACCCCCTCTTCATCCTAGGGCACGCAGGGAAGGGAGCAACCTGAGTTGCGTGGCTTATGGGGGAGGAAAGGGCCTTGATTTCTTTCATAGCTGCAGTCAGGAACACAGTGTTTAAAAGGGAAGCTGCATGCAGCAAGCTATTGGGAGCAAATCGTGAATTTATCTGGTCTTGTCATGGCTTATCTGCGTTCCTGGCATCTTCCCAACTCTGAGTTTTGCCCTGCTTTCAAGTCTGAAAGTCCTTCTCCTGCCTTGTCAAGTTAATTACTGCAGCTTGGTTTGTTTGGATTTTTAGTTACAGTCTGTATGTACCTTGTTTTGGACTGAATTTTCTCCAGTTAAAGGCTGTTCCTGGGAGAGTTTTTCTCCAGCTGAAGGTAACCTGGACATTGGGGGCAAAGTTGGAGATAATAAAGGGACTCTTTTTGCTTATGTGACTGTGTTCCCTTTGTGCCACGCCCCAGGTCATTACAGTGTGCCTCTTTCTCCTCAGACAATGCCGCAAGCGAAGGAGTCCTAGCCAGTTTCTTCAACAGCCTCTTGAGTAAAAAGACAGGTTCTCCCGGGAGTCCCGGTGCAGGAGGAGGAGGAGGAGGAGGAGGAGTGCAAAGCACCGGTAAAAAATCAGGTACCGTCCAAAAGAAGCCATTTCTCCTTAATTTAATCGGGCCCATTTACATGCAGTACTTTGCAGCTGTGATTTGAGTTGATTTTCTGCATACGTATACCGTGCCTTCCTTTTTTTATAGGGCAAAAACCCGTTTTGACGAACGTCCAAGAAGAGCTGGATAGAATGACTCGCAAGCCAGACTCAGTCGTAACAACCAACTCCTCTCTGACGGAGAACGAAGCTTGAGAATCTTTGAACCTCCATATGTAAATGACCAAATAGTGATGTACATTGACCTGATAACACCAGGAGCTTCCTGCTGTGGCAGATGCTTTCAGTTTTTTCTTGGGGAAATGAAATTTAACCTTCATTGGCTTGTCCCAGTGTCAAGTGCACATTCAGGAAGTTTTGCGTCTAAATTTCCTCTGTTTTATGATAACCATTTTAGAGTTTAAATAGGGCATTTCTCTTAATTTGGTTTCAAGCAATAGGAAGAAGCGCACAGAAGCAAGAGGTGGAGTTCCTGCTGAAAAGCCACGAGCTGCTGCTGGCACGGAGGAAGCGCAAAGTCCTCTTCTTCTCTCTTTTTTTCCAAGTTAATTGGAGTTGGCCATGGAAATGCGTACTTGTGTTTGTAGAGGGTGCAATGTAGCAGAATGTGGGTTGGATGATGAGTGTGTACAAAATGGCGGTGTTTTGAAAGGATAAAAGGCAAGACCTGATCAATAGAAGCGAAAAGCACGTTGGATGTAAATCAGATAATCATGTTGGTAAAAATAAAAATAAATGCCTTTACAATTGGGAAACAGAAAATACAAGCATCATGGAAACTATTCCAATGGCATTTTTTTTCCAGTTCTAATAAGAAGATACATAAAGTATGGTGGGTACTCTTTTTGTCGTAACTGACACGGGGAGAAATTTGTTCAGACCAAGTGCCTGGCACAGTGTGAGATGTTTCTTCTCGAAGGTGCTTGAACCTCTTGTGCACTATTGTACAAACAGTGTCTCTTTAATTATTATTTTTTTTAATTTTAACCCGGTAACTTTGGTAGCTGGGTTGAATTTTGCATCCTTTTTTTCCTCCCCCTGATAGTTTTTTTTTCTTTTCGTTTTTCTTTTTAATACCAACCATCTGGCCTGTGAAGAGGAATGAGGGACATGTCATTTCTCTGCAGTGAAATGGAAACGCAAATCTTTCTTTTGTATCCAAGAGTTAATTGCAAAGGTCAACACTGATTTTCTGCCTTAAGGCTTTAAAACCCCTATGGTGAGTTTGGGGTAGCCTCCAAAATTCTGGTTCCAGATTGGATTAAACAAAGGGTTGTAGGTATACAGAGAAGAAGAAAAAAGAATGCAGACTTACGTGACTTCATTACATTTGTGCTTTACCCCTTCGGTGTTGCCTTTTCAATGTGGAAATAATTTTGACGGTTGGCCCCTGTTGCTGCTCAGATGAGTTCCCATAGCCACTTGGAGTAAGACTCCCACAGTTAACTGAAATGGCACTTTTGAATTTCTGTACAATTTATTTGACAGACAAACACTAACTTATTTGTACCAAACTTGTTTGTAAGCAGCACATTGGAGGGATATACCACCATGGATTATGCAGACTTTGTATTGATACAAAGGTTTTTTGTGTTACGTTAAATCTTGTTTCTGAATAGAACCACCCTAATATTTATATACCTATATCTATATATATTGTTAAATATACAAAATAAATTGACCACTAACACATTACTGGATGTAATTGCAACCCACATGTTGTAGAGAGAGACCATTTCTCTTCGTTTTTGTAAGTCTGTCTAATGCTAGCTAGAAAACTAAGAGTATTTACTTGCATTAACATGAAAATATGTTTACTTATGTCAGTTACATTTTTTTTAAACAATACATGGTCAACTACATTATAAAACTCAGTTTTGACCAACGTTACCAGGCTCTTAAACTCAGAAGTTGTGATCAGGGAATTTGGTTTGTGTTTGGGCTGCCATTTACAAGCCAGCGTAGGTTTTGCTACATTGTAAAATTAGCCTCGTGCCATCCCAGTAGTAGTAATTCAATCTGTCCTCATGGTAGCGCCTTTAGTATATCCTATTCAGTAAGTAAAGTTTTGGTGCCATTTATACATAAAGAACCAGTGAGTGTATTGAGATGATTGAATTTATGCTTGGATTTAAACAGATGGGAGTGTGACAGCTATGGGGTGGTGGGTTTTGTTTTTAATGGGTTAGCCGTTCCGAAGATGATTATGACAGCCGGATGATTTCATTGAATTCTGGAGAATAAAACCTTAAAATCGAACTGGGCTTGGGGAAAACACAACAAATTATTTGCTGCTGTTCTAAGAGCACTAGCTAGGTCTCAAGGCCCAACTGATCTTATTAAAAAATTTGTCATGCACCAAGTTAATTTACTTGTTTTTTTGAAAGCTGTAGACAACAGGATTTTTTAAAATTTGTATCAAATGAGCATTGGATTTGCAAAATAAAAAAGGCCAATAACATATTACTTTCCAGTTCTACAAAGATCATTGGGACTCAAACAGAATTTGGAATGCCCCTCCCTCTACTCTTCTACTTTGCAAGTGAATGCTCCTAGTTTTTCAAAAGAAGGAAACTGTAAGTGATGTGATGTTTGTCAGTTGCCAAAGTCTAGCAACTTTGGAACCCTGCACCATTGTCTTTTCTGGTGTTCTCAAGCATTAGAACCAAAGGCCAACTGCAAAACAGCCTTTATGTTTAAAACTACCATTAAGTTTATTTTCAGGATTCACTTTTATGGAAGACTGTTAGAATTACTACCTGGCTCTATTTATACTGCATATAATAATTGCATCTGCTGTTCACGTTTAAACTAAAGTAATAATATATTGGACTTGAAGATAAGGCAAATATAAATCAGTTAAGGATTGGCCCGCCATCCAAAATTTTGTTTTATGCTGCTTGATTTTTAAGTTTGCACTTCTATTGGCATTTTAAAACTTGTTTCAACAGAACTTGTATGTACGTATTTAATTTAACATGTTGAAAGTGACTGAACTTAACCATACCCATGCTGTAAATGAAAGTTCTCTCTCTTGTATTCAGTTTATTGATGTTTTTAACTTTTCAGTGGAGACTGCAGATGTATCCAGCACAACCCTTAGTCCAGTTGTATGGCTTTAAACAGGTGCAGTCCTGTGGAACCTTGCTTTCTAGTGCTGGCGAAAAATGAGGACATGTCTTTAACGGCTTCAAATAAACAACCAACCAAGACGACTTACCTGTGTTGAGTCACCTTTTTTTTTTTTCCTTTTGGCAAGGTGGGCCGTTTTGAAGAATGATAAATTGAAGCAAATGAAATTTTGAACTCTAAATATAGACATGTGTTCAGACTGATCAGCTTTCTCTTACGGGGGGGTAATTTTTTTTTTAACCTTTTTGCTGGAGAACATAGAAAGGACTGTAGCTAAGCAGCCGAACAACGAAGAAAATACTGTCTGAAATCCTAGAGAGGCAGAATCATTCAGCATACCAGGGAAGGGCAGTATGCAGATGACGTGGTCCCCCAAACTGAGAAAATACTGCCTGAAATTCTAGAGGGGCAGAATGCAGTTCACATGAACCCCCATCACTGAAATTCTTTAGACGAATGTCTAGTTTTCAGCCACGTGATTTTTCCCCCCTCCCTGACTAAGGATACTAATGGCAGATTTTGGGGAAGGCAAAAGGTTTCAACTCTTAAAATCCCCCTCCGAAAGTGTGCAACTATTGTTGCTAGCTTTCAAGTGCATTAATTTCATGTTTTGGAGGGAGGGTTTGAAAATGAGAGTTGCAACTGTTCCTACAGTTTCCCAAATCCCATTTCTAACTTTTTAAGATAGACCAAAAAAATGGGACGGTTACGGAGGTTTCTTGACAAATCAAAAGCTGCAGGCCTATAATGTGCTGCACCTCGCTTGGTGAGTGATAGCTTCATATTCTAAATGTAGAAAAATCCTATACTTTCTTTGAAGGGCCTCAATGACTATTTTGGGATATTTTTCTAAGTAAAATGAATGCAACATATTGCTATACTGCATGGATCTTAAGTGTTATCTTCAAGATCCATCCCAACAGAGTGGTTCTAATAGGATATTTCAGATGCCCTTTCTGAAAGACGCTGTAGCCTCAGATCTGGATACTGGATTAACTTTCTCAGTAGTAGCCCTCTACCTCCCCATTTAGGTGTGCCAGGTCTTAATTTTTTTTTTTTTTAGATGTCAAAAATAGCCCTAAGAGAGCATTTGGATTTAACTTACAGATTTATGAGTTTGTAACTTTGTTATTTGTTGATGTAATGGATGTATTTTATTATGGTTCGATTAATGTTTTAGTCAAATGCTGTAAGCTGCCAGAATTTGAAGATTAGGCAGCGTATAAAATTAGCTAAAGTTCTATCACCATGCTCCCTAGAATAGCTCTGAAGTCTTTAACCCTTCTTAGAAAATAAGAATAGTAAATATCTGTAACCCTGGTCCTTTTTTGACAGATTATCATCTAAATAATTCCTGTTTTGTCACTAGCTGTCACTCACCAAGGGAGCCATTCTAAGTAGTCATATTTTCTTCCTGTTTGAGGGGCCATTCATACAATACAATCAATATTCCAGGTACACTTAACAGTTGCAAGTAGTTCCTCATGTTCTCTGCAGTGTATTTTAAAGCAAGCTGTGGGGGAGATAATCTGTTTAAAGAGGCTGTGCATTTAAAGAGAAGAAGATTTATTCTAATCAAGATGCGGTAAAGAGAAGCCATCATGTTCGTTAGCAGCATAAACCATCTGTTTTACGGAGCAGCATTTCAAACGTCATTGCACTGCAGTGTTATGAATTGTTTTTCAAGAATAAAATTGAACATACATTGATAAAACATACAGCTCCCTAGAATAGAAAGTCCAAGCCCAAACAAAGAAAGGTAAAATGGTTTTAAAACACTTTAAATTGGCTTTTTAATGCTTTTTAATGTTTAGGTTTATTAGGAACTATTTTTTTTTTTTGTTATTTCATTGAGCTGCCAGTCACGTGGGTTTGGGTGGCTGTATAAATTAATAAAACCACAACAAATCTGACCTTTATTTGTTGAATTGAGTATGTCTCTCTCTACTGTAGCTTGTTCTGTGTATTTGGAGAAGTTTGATACAATAGTGGACCAATATTTTCAGGCCACTGAGCAATATTTGGAATAGCTCTACATGTTCAATTGGTTGAAGTCCACGCATCTTAAAAGTTGCCGAGTTTGAGAAATGCTGTCACATTAAGATTGTGCTACCATATTTATTTTATTTATTTATTTGGTTTGTCAATTGCTTACAAGATAATAGGTACAAGTAAAAACATAGTTATGAATACATATCCTCCCTCATCCTCATCTTGTAAGACTGTTATTGGCAGAACTGCTTTATGCTACTTTGGGGCACCACTTATTAAGGTGGCTGTGATTTAATACAAAAGCAAAAGGTAACAAAACCCTCAGGCATCTAGTTTCTAAGACAGAAGATACAAAATCTAACTCGGAAATTGATACTGAATGTTTCGTCTGCTAAAATGCACTCTCAGTAAGAGGAGTTCAATTGCAAATTGAATCAAAGGACTTTTTTTCTTTTTAAAAATAACCATTACCCCGGAAAAAGAAACGAATCTAGTTTCTCAGGGAAAAAAGTCTCACGTGAGCTGCTTCCTGGAAAGGGCCCAACCAGTTGGCTTTCAAAACACACCAAGATAAGAGGTGAAAACAACCTCAAATAACCAGTTTCACCTTGACTTTCTGTGTATGTTTACTGTATTCAGAACTGATCACACTAGGCTGAGTGAACTGATTGTGTTCTAGCTTTATCTTTCTTTTAGCTTCTAAAAGTCATTTGTAGTTTCTCTTTGTGGTGAATTTACCAGGAAGACAGGAATGCTCAGAAAGATCTTTATACGATCCCTCCCATCTTGTGAATACAATCCTATTTCTCATAAATTTTGGCCCCAGCATGCAGAATGAGTAGGTCCATTCATTTTCATTAATGCAAAACAAAACACCCCTCCCCCAAAAAAGTCTTGGCTTGTAATCTAGTTTCAGAAATGCAAGAACTTAGTTTGAATTTTTTGGGAGGCTCATTTTTAACTTATTTTGTTACCCTCTTTTCCCTTTTATGGCAGTTTGCATTTTAATCTTTGACAATGAAATCTAATATAAAAATATAGGAACCCTTTTTTGCAATAATTTTATTAAGGATTATATTAAACAAGTAAATATTATTAAAAATAGAATAACTACATCAAGGAATATGGCTATGTATGTATGTATATAAAAAAATAGAACTGCAGACACCCCCCAAATAAAAATTCTACATCTTTTTAATTAACCAATGTAAGGGTTGAGGCCTTTTTCAATATTATTTCAGATGCTTTGTCCTTTTTTTTTCTTTGAAAGCACTTTAAGTGGTTAACATAATTAAAAGCAGAATTATGGCCATTAAAAGTGAGTAGTGAAATTTCTTCTGCAATTTAATACAAATGGCCTTAATGAACGTTGAAGGACCCAGTGCAGACCCAGAGCAAAGGAAGTTCTTTAAATTGTGCCTTTTTTTACAATCCCTGTGAAGTGATTGCTTTTACCTCAGCCTCCCATCACTTGCTTGCTTTCATCTCATTTCAACATCCAGCTGCAAGAGTATTTTTGTAGATTGTGGCAACATTATTATGAATGGATTTTGAAACCCATGTTTCAAAGTACCTTGACTTAATACTCTGCTCTAATAAATTTAATTTATTCCTTTTGTTTTCAAAGTCGATATTGCTTCCCTCCCTCGAAATTGCAAAGATGTAAATAGGCTCTTGATTTGAACTGAGGGAATTGGAAAGTTTGGCTTGCCAAAAATATCTTGCTTTAAAGGAAAAACAAAGTTATTTTACTAGCTGCCCATAGCTCTTATATTCTTGTCTAAACTTTTGCGGGAAGAAAAAAAAAAGGGAAATATATCCAAGACCAGAACAGTGAATGTGACATTGATCATAATGATTGAAAAGAAAAAGGGGGGGGGGGGGGGGGAGTTCCAACCTTGGCAACTTTAAGAGTTGTGGACTTCAATTCCCAGAATTTCCCAGCATGACTGGCTGAGGAATACTGGGAGTTAAAGTCCACAAGACCCCTCTAATAGGTTGCTGAGAGGCAGGGCCTTGAGACACAATTTATTATTACTACTAGTTTGCAACAATTTGAAGTCTTAGTTGCCAGTTTTTTTTAAGCTGGTGTAGGCCATCAAAGGCATCAAGTTCTTCTCAAAAACCTAGGATATCGTATTGGAGTAGTGTGTGTGTGTGTGTGTGTATACACACACACACACATATACATACATATATATGCAAATCCAAGCAATATGGCCTTTTACAATTGACAGATGGAAACGATGTCAATTCCCTGTTTTTCTAAGTGCCACCCAAAATGTATTCCTCCCAGTGTGCCCATAATCGCTGGCACAATTTATGCCATAATATTTCAACTTCTATACCCAGATCTTGATTTTTTTTAATCTCCTCTAGTTCTTTGTCTTGTGCTCTACTATCCCCTGACATTGCTACACAAATTAATCATACTTCCTTCTTTTCAACCACAATTGTATCTGGGATTGTTATGAGCCAAGCCTTTTTTAGTTTGCATTTGGAAATCCCACAATATTTTAACTTGTTCATATTAGGCCATAATGGCATAATTTTGAAACACAGTGTACTTTTTGTCTGTGGTTGTTCTTCCAGTAACCCTACAGGGTTAGGGTTTTTCCATTTTCTTTCCCTATTAAAGTGGCTGATAGATACAAGAAGTTCTCAACTTACAATTATTTATTTAGTGAACATTCAAAGTTACAAAAACACTAAGTTACAGCAGCCTCATCATCACATGATCAAAATGTCAAACAGCATGTATTTATGAGAGTTGCAAGCTGGTTGCCATTTGCAACCTCCTCTGCCAAGTCAATGGGAGAAGGTGGATTCACTTAACCAAATTATTCATTTCACTTCAGTGATTTACTTAATCGTGGCAAAAAGGGTAGCCACAAATTGGGCACGACTCATTTAACTGCCTTGCTCAACAGTGGAATTTGTGCTCTCAGCTGCAGTCGTAAGAAGAGGACTATCTTAGTCAGGCTCTTCCACTAAGATCTGTCTGGCATGGGTGATCCTTCTGGGAAAATATAGGCAGTCTTTGACTTACAACAGTTGTTTGCCATTCAAAGTTACAAAGACACTGAAAAAT